GGATGGCTGTTGTGGTTGTGTGGTGATTGTGGTTAAGATCTGTGGGCGGGTGGAGGGGAGTGAGATATACTAGAAGAATGGGCGGTCCACTAAAGTTTGGGTGGTAGGTTGAGTGGCTAGAAGAGAGCATGGGGGGATGGAGTTTAGATTGGGTGGAAGACTGGGTGGCGACATGTTCAAGGGGCGGCACGCTGAATCTTCTGCATTGGCGGCAGGCTGCAATATCTGGATGGACGGTAGGGAAGGACGAAGGGAAAGAGGGTGGATGGGTGAACAACTGGGTGGCAGGCAGGCAGGTTAAAATACAAGTCTGGGCGGCAGGCAGGCAGGTAAACAGGTAGGTAATTAGACAGTCTACATAACCAGAATGGGCGGCAGGGAGGGAAGGGGACGTAGGGGAGGTGGTTGGGTGGATAGCTGGGTGGCGGGGGCGTTGTGCTCGAGGGGTGGCGGGCGCCGGGTGTTCGAGGGGTGGCGGAGGCGGGGTGCTCGAGGGCCCAGGTTATGAATACCATTACCTCGTGCCGTCCACCTATTCACTGATCGCTGACCGCCACCTCGGGAATACCTTTTGCATTATGGTTTATATTTCAACACCTCAAGGGAGGGGAGGGGGGGTTACTAGTGGTTTAATGGGTTTATATTTTTGGTTTAAGTGTGTATACCTGGGTTTTTTTATGTGGTCTAAGGGTATATGCCTGGTGCGTTTTATTATGGTCTATATTTTAACACTTTTGAGTTGTATGTGATTTATACTTGTGGATTAAGGTAGGTTTAATTTACGTATATCTTAACTGGTTTGATATTATTATGGTTCATTTTCCAGTACCTTGAGAGGAGGATTTCTTGTCTGATTTATTTCAGTTTTATTTCTAACATCTCGAGGGATTTTCTTTTGGTTTAGGTTTAAGGTGTTTATCCTATCGGTGTTTATTTGGAATACCTTCGGGTTTATTTATGGTTTATTAGATAAAATTGAAATTTATGGTTTAATAGAGAATTATCAGCTTTAATTAGTCAGCAGGAATCATAAGTTTAAGGTTTATAAACAAAAACGTGTTCTATCTTAACCATGGTTTATTTACAATGCCTCAGGTTTATTTTTGGGGGGTTCAAATAGTTAGGATTTGTGGTTTAATGGTACAGATTATATCAAGGGCGTCCAAAGTTTGTCATACAGGACCCACATTACAATTATTGAACCATATCGAGGACCGGGCGAGGTCTTGTTTACATTTGGCAGGCCCTGTTTACATGTGATAGGTCCTGTTTAGATGTGGCAGGTACGGTTTACATCTGTGACAGGTCCTAACAAAATTCGACATTTTATCAACGCATAAATAATATTAAACAAAAGTCTCTGCAAGTCTGTAGTCTGCCGGGTAAGGGTTTATTTTGAGTTTATTTTCGTATTTAATGATGACGTATTAGTATATTTTATTTACCCGGTTTATTACATTATGGTTTATTAATTTACGTTTATTTAGTTGAGTTTAGGTTTGATTAGATTAGAATATTTTAAGTTAAACACGTTCGCCACTGATAAAAATGTCGCCTTATTTACACCGTAGAAGACCTACCATATCTACCCAGCACACCTCCCTCTCCTACCCCTGTCTGTGTGAACAGCAGTACTCAGCGACACCTGCAAGCGAGGCTGAAGATGCCACAGGAGGTGTACTTGAATACAATAGTAACCCGCCAGACCCTACAACCTCTTCTCCCTCCTCCTTCTTCCTCTCCCTCCCCTCCTCATCCTCCCTTCTCATCATCATCCTCTTCCTCCCCTTCCTCACTCCCTCCTTATCCTCCTATTCCTCCCCCCCTCTTCCTCCTGCAGGTGGAATAATTCATAAGGTGATGTTAGGTGTCGTCGACGCCCTGCCAGGAATCCTTCTCTCGTCTTGTGAGTGTGTGAAGGATATCGCTCTACTGAGAATCCTGCATTACTGTAACTGCAGAGGATATAACATACAAGAATCCTTCTCATCCTACGCATTTGTATACTGTAAATACTTCGTGGCACTAAGTGTATAAAAGGACTAGGTCTATAGGAATCTGTCGTGTCTTTACGTATGAAGGATACAATTTAAATGTATCCTTCACCTCTGCCGGTGTACACAACCCCATCCTACTAAGAATCCTTTGCATTTATATGTCAGCGTAAAATACCTCATCCTGGAAAGAATCCTTCATGTTTGTGGGAATTTCAGGTTGTGGAGGAGAAAGAAAGAGAGAGAGAGAGAGAGAGAGAGAGAGAGAGAGGAAGAAAGAAAGATAGACATAGAGAGTGTGAGAGATAAGAGAGAGTGTGAGATAGAGAGTGTATTAGGCTTCTTTGATGGGGGTGAGGAATCTCTCTCTCTCGCTTCCCCTATTTGACCTAAGATGAAAAGAGAAATGAAGAACCACACCATCATACACCCTCAACCGCACCCTCAACCATACCCTCAACCGCACCCTCAACCACACCATCAACCACAAACTCAACCGCACCCTCAACCACACCCTAAGCCACACCATCACACACACACCATTGGTCCACTCAACTAGGCCATTCGATTGTGGGTGATAAGCTGCTGTGAAGCTTTGTTGAATGCTGTATTGTTGGCATATGGTTGCAAGAAGTTGATTCTTAAATTCTGATCCGTTATCGGATAGAATAACCTTAGGTGTAGTGAACGGACAGATGAGATGCGTCACTAAAGAGTGTGCCACAGTCTCCGCGGATTTATCCTGCAAGGGGACTAGAATCACGAATCTGGAGAAGTGATCAACACACACAAGTATATAGGTGGAGCCTTGATGGCTTTTTGGCAGTTGCAATAAGTCGATTGCAACTGTGTCGAATGGGCGTTCAGGCGTTGGGTATTCAAGAATTGGAGCAGGGTGCATTGTAGTTCCCTTGTGTTGAGCACAAGATAAACAATTAGCAATGTGTCGCTCGATGTCCCTTTTCATTGTACTCCAATAGTAAGATTTTCTTATTTCTGCAAGGCATTTGTCACGCCGTGGATTGCGCTCTTGATAATCCTGCCTTTGGTCTTGGTAGTCCTGCCTGTATTGCTGCAGTTACACAATCCTCTGAACTGCGTGATCTAGATTGATGTAGTAAACACCACTGGTCACTTATGGGTTCGGGAGCATTGTATATCCTGCTTACTGCACTTGAATTTAACTTTTGATTTTGATTTTTGAAGTTGCTTTTCTTGGCTTTGTTAAGCTGATAGGTATTACCATCTTGTTTTGCATAGTAACAGTCTTCAGTCGTATGATTCTGTTTCTTGCAAATTTTACACAGTTTTTTGTTTAGGTTTGGTACCTATTTCTTTCTAAACCTCAATTGGTGCTGTTGCCACCGGTGCAATGGTTCTAGCAAGAGGTGTGTATGGGGCTCTCTGTATTATGCATAATCTGTGAGTCCATCTGACTGGGGGTAATTTTCCTCTTGAGCTTGCTTAAACTCTACTTCTTGAAGAAATATAAATTGGATATACTCGATAAGACGATACACGTGTTCCTCACTCATTTTACGGTCCTTGTCAAACCAATCGGAACCGGAGAAGTGTGCTTTCCAATCGTCATAAGCCTCCCCCGCTATAGACTGTGCCATAAAGATATGCTGTGTTTGGATTCGCGGTGCGGTTCTGCTTACCATTCTAAAAACCCATGTAAAATGACCGCCAACTCCTCCCTGATCAAAGAAGCGTACCAAATTTCTTTTGAACTCGTCATATTTTGAACGAGTAAAAGCCGTAGCATTCATTAGGTGACTTGCGCGACACCCCAGTTTAATGTTACCACGGACGAATGCTTTACGATCCTCGTCATCTCGGACATTATTGTCTCATCACATTCTGTGAAGTCTCGGATTCAATCATGCTGTGGTAGTATTTTCCACACATTAGTTGCTTGCGTCACTGGGTTAGTCATGTTAGTGGTTAGAGGTTTACTAGTTAATTGAAATGCTGGTAAATTATTAGTGCATGTATCAGAAGATGTCAATACACTCAGTGAGTTTTGGAAGGACTACAACATTTTGAAATGTATAAAGAACAAAGCTGCAGCATGGGATGAGGTTACAGGTCAGTGCATGAATGAAATATGGAAGAAAGTCCTGAAAAGATATGTGAACAGTTTCAAAGGACTTAATGAAGATGAAGCAATTTCCGAGATTAGTAACAAGATAGTGGAGTTGGGTAAACAGCAGGAGTTAGAAATTGATAATGAAGATGTTGAGCAATTAGCTGAAAGTGTAGCAGAAGAGCTAAGAAACGAGGATCTTATTGAGCTGGATGCACTGAAAATTGCAGAGGAAGAGAGTAAAAATGTAGAAGAACCTGCACCCCCAAACATTTCCAGTGAAACAAATGGCAGAGGCATTTGCTACTATTAATAAGGGGATGCAAATGTTTGATAAAATGGATCAAAATGTTGAGCATTTTGCAAAAGTTGACAGAATGATCCAAGATGCACTTGCTTGCTACAGGGAGATTTACAATGAAAAGAAAAGGCAAACTGTGCAATCAAAATTGGACATATATTTTAAGAAGTCCCCCACTGCTGTCTCCTCACACCCCACCAGTGCTGCCTCTTCACTCCCTAAAGATGACCCAATACCTTCAACAAGCAAGTATTCCCTGTATGTTAACCAGTCTGAAGAAAGTGACCCACCCAGCCCTCTCTCCTCCTCTGCTTCATCCAATTAATGTAGTCTCCATGTTTAATTACAAAATTATTGGGGCCCCGTGTTCATTCAGCCGACTACATTAAAGGTAAGTGCACAGTAACACTTAATACATTATTTATTTACTTTTACTGTACTGTATTTCATTTTAGATTTTCTATGAATTATTTTTGGCATTTTCGACTTACGACATGGATTTGGGTCCCTAACCCCATCGTAAGTCGGGGACTGCCTGTACAGTATATATAAAACCAGGCTTAAAAATATCCATTTGAAAGTTGTTCACTATCAAGTTGATTAAAACTGCCAAAAATATAAACTCTTTTTACTTAACAGTTAGACGATTCTTCTGTTAAATTCAGAATACTGTAGTACACTAGTAAGCCATCACATATGAATCCATTATCACAGGTAAGGAAAGACACTTATCTAATGACTACCCTGAACAAGTGGTCGAGTCCCAGAGTGGACCGAGTTTTGGGAGGGACTGAACAAGCATTGGGTGGAACTATGTCCAACTATGATGCTTTCTTTTTAACAACCTAACTTGCTTGCTATAGCATTATGTAATTTCACAAAACACGATGGTTTGAACAAAGAGGTGAGGGACTTTTGTCGAGTATATATACCTATGTACTGTACAAAACTTAGGTACAATGTTCCCTGTCTGCTGTGTACTTAATGCGTTCAACCGGGCATATTGTTAGCAACAGCAGCACATCTCCTTCATATTAAATAAACATCTAAGTGATATACATTGCTAATTATAATTTTTCATATTCTTTTTACTTCTTGCATACCTATAGTACTTTAAGTTTAAAATAAATTTACTAAGCAACTTTTTTCTACTGTTGATGCACATCTATGCAGTGTCTTAAAATTGGTCAACTAAACGAAATTTATTTCAGACTGTCATGTAAAAAAAATATTGAAGGGACCTTGATTAAGTACCTAAGTATTATGCACAAATGTGAAATATATTTGCCTGAATTCATGATTCAGTTTCTCCTTGGTTTTAATAAAATTCACAATTAACCAGAATTTTTCTATTAAAAATAAAATTCCTTAACTGATTTTACACTATTGTAAATATACCATTTTTCTAGTGCCAATCTAAAATGGAGTGATATATCAGTCATATAATTATGTTATTAATATAAAGTACAGAAGTCATCATGTGGCAGAGCAGCCCTTAATATAATGCTCTTCAAAATGTAGTGCTCTGGAAATAGTTTCATGATACTGTACAGAAACTTTCTAGAAGAACTTAGAATATTAAACTTTGCATCAAAATTACTTTTCTTAAAGAAAACAATTGAAGAGAGACAGTCTAGGAAATCTCACGAATGAATGATAACAAGGAAAAGCCAGTCACAATCAAAATCATATCTTGCTTATAGATCCATTACTGTAATGGTATTCACATGTAATTCCTCTAGAATGTAAGCTGTAGTACTGCATTAGGTTTCAATGGAAGAGAGCATGGATTCAGCTAGAATGTAATACTTAGTGTATGTGTACAGTAAAAAAAAAAAATTATTGGCTCATTAGAGGACCACAATACTGGTGGTGACTGATTGATTCTCTAAGTTTTGTCTTCCCAAGATGAGGAGGGTACATAATACTATTCACTAACACTGAGTTAAATTACATGCAAGACTTACAAATTACAAGAATTACAAAACACTGTTTCGCTTATCACACAGCAATATTGAGAGACCGAGCTGAAATATGTACTGTACAGTACTGCTACAGTACAGAAAGCAAGCCAGTCTTGTTTTTGGCTGGCCATCAGGCATCCATTAGTGTCACCTTAAAAACATCTACACTCAAACAGTAAATCACTGAGAAAAACACTCAAACAGAAAGAAACCATAAAAAATGAAACAACTGCCCACTTCAGAAACAGAAAGTGTTGGTAACTTCTAGCTCAAATCTCTTTCATGAATGTAACTAAGTACGGTAACAAAATGACACCTTGAAAGGAGGAAAAGAGTGAAGGTAGAACTTCATAGATTCAAGATTACAAGTCATGTAATATGAGAAGAAAAATATGCCGATGACTGTTCAACACACGCTTTTCCAGGAAAACACATGGATTATGGTCAAGATGTTATCCACAAACCAATGATCTACCTGGTGAGTTGCAGTCTTGTCAGGCAAGCACTGCCTGCACAGTTCTGAGAGAGCTATCTCGAAAGACACATGATAATTGTTAGGCCACAAAATGGTAATCTCTGTTTACAAATGCAAGATAGATGAAACTTATATTATTACTAAATTTTCCTCCTTATGAGCTAAAATTCTAATATGATATTACAGGCATCTTCAATTCTTACCCTAGATGTCTGGGTCAAGCTTAAACCATTGTGTAGCAGTTGCTATAAACTAAAAGATATTTTAGTCGGTCAATGGCTGTGGAGATCAAGCCACAAATATTTTACAATAGCAAGATAAGGAGTAAAAAATATAAACTAAAGGTAAGTTATGAAAAAGAAAGTCAATGACTGGAATTGCATAAAGTTCTTCATAATCCTTCTTCCTGTACAGAAAGAGAAGAATTTAACAAAAGACACAATGGAGGATCATAGAAGCATGCTAAGGCAGTTATTTTAATGCAAATGCAATTTCAGTGAAATGTTGAAATATGTACAGTATAGTTGTAGCATGCAAACAAATACAGTAACTGCATTACAAAGAGTTGTATTACTGTAGTGTTTCATCACAACTAATACATTTTCAAACAAATAATCCTCATTTGCTTCTTCACATATTCATTGCGAGTTACAAATCAATTTATTTTTAAAGTACAGGTATTCCCCGACTTACGACAGGGTTAGGGACTGACATCCAGGCCGTAAGTCGAAATGGTAGTAAGTCAGAAATGCTTAAATAACACATAAAAAATCGAAAATTTGGGTCTCTTTTTCTACTCAGCACCACAAAACACTCACTTTTAAGCTTGCCAGCCATTTTAAAGTGAATTACAGATGAAAATTTTGTCTGTATACTGACTTTGGGACTCAAATATACATAATTTGACCACATTTTGGTACAACTGAGGCGGTCGTAAGTGCGGGTGGACGTAAGTCGGGGACTACCTATATCTCTTGTAATCAACATTAAAATACATATGTTCTGTAGTTCTGTATTGTGTTATCTTATTACAGATGAAAAATAAGTACATAAATGGGACTTCATTGTGTGTAAACAAGTGAAATCCTTATGTAATGAAGTATGAGGTATAATGGGACATGTAGTATTACCCCCATATAGTACATAATTATGATGCCAGCAACAACTCTTTATCCCTTGGTAAGATAATTACGGTGTATGAATTACTACTCAAATTTCAAAACAATTGCAATTGTATACAAAGGGCCTCTTTGAGTTGGCCTAAAAAATTTCTCTATTATTGTGCTCATAAAGATTCATAACTTAAGCTCATACCCTGTCCTAAAGGATGTTGCGGTGAATTCACTTCGTACTCACTCACAACACCGGCACACACAATTATGACACAGTAATTTCTTCCAACATCTTTCGACAATTCTCCTCAAGGTCCTGAGCAAGAGTCATGATAGTATTGTGATCGGTGCTCTCTTGAAGACGCTTCATTTGTTGCCCCAGAAACACTCGTAATGAGGTGGTGTGTACAGGGTCTCCTTGTGCCAGTGCCTGCCGTCTAAGAACATGTTCTGTCTCAAGTTCATATGGTTCAGGAGATCCCAGGCGGCCACCATTGATGACCTGTTGGATATAAAAAGACATTCTTTGAAATATAGTATAAGGAATATCGCCATTAGCCGGAATCCCTCTTAACCGGAACTCTCCAATAGCCGGAATTTAAATTTGCTTAGAATTTTCCGGGTTGGGGACGAGTGATTTTTTCTGGCTTTGAGAGAGTCGTCTCGTTACCAGGAAATCTCTCATTCCCGGAAGTGCTATCACTAATTGGGGCAGACCCCAATCTGAAAAAAGCCAATATATGAGGGGTTGGAGATAACACTGCTTTTCTGAACTGTTTAAAGTACGTATATCAGTTGATGTTATGGTATTACTGTATTTCAACATATAAGGTCTTTAAGTGTACAGTAATACCCTGCTTTACGCGGTTCTCGTTAACACGTTTCCACATTTACGCGGTACCCCGCCAGAACCGGAATTCCCACTTTACGTGGTGCATCTACTCATATACGCGGGCAGGGTGCGCACAAGGTTGCCCAGTCATCAAAACATTACTGAGTTCTTCACCCGCCACCCACCACAGCCGACCCAAGTCAGTGATAGTGAGGATATGGACTTTGAGGGGTTTGACAAAGAGGCCCTGCAAGCCTCTGTGGTGGATAGTGATACAAGTGATACAGGTGAGGGCCAATAATCTGCCCTCTGCCTCGGAACCAACCCCCCATCCCCGAGTGCCCAGCCATCTTTTTTACTAATGTAAGTGTTAAAAAATCTAATATTATTGATATTTCTCTTAATTATTAATTGTGTGCGCACACCATCATAAAATTAAGAAGTTATTTTTACTACAACGTAGGTATTGTGGTCTGAAAAAGTGGAGTTTGGGAGTCGGCCCAGTCTCTATTTCAATTAATCCTACATGTTCTGTTGTTCCATTTACGCGTTTCCCGTTTTACACGGGCCTCCGTGGGTTCAATTGACCGGGTAAAGCGGGGTTATACTGTATAACAAGGTTATTGAAAGTATATTTAATCAACAATAAAAGAATATGAAACAGAACTCTCTGGGTTTAAAATTAGACATACAAGTCTGGTTGTCAACAACTGTTGTCACCAAGATGATTGTTATTTATTGTAAAGTGTTATATGTAACTAACCACAGAATCTGTCTCATAAATAAAAAGAAAACTGTATACTGTACAGTGCTATAAAGATAAAAATAGGAACAAATAAGTGTAGGGGTATATTGTATGTGGAAGACAAATGTTTATCTGGGAGCAGCTGGCAGTGGGGATCATTTGGTGCCAGGTTGATACAATATTATCCTAAGATAATCAGCTTTCCTGAAAAAAGAATCCTACACTGAAAACAATGACTCATTTGTTTACAAAGGGCAAACAGCTGATTGGTTTACCACAATGTCTATCTTTAACACTTAGTAAACTAGTACAGTACAATTGTGTAGTTATTATCACGTAATAAATACTATTGCAGTGTATTTATCACCACTCAATAAATACTGCTGTAGGGTATTTATCATCACTTTACAAATAATATTGTATTATGCATCTGCATATAACTTGGTTTATTCATTAACCCTCTCGCACATGACGACACTATTCGCATCATTCATGGTAAGACCAGCTTCATGGCAATGCAAATTGAGTCACCACTTTAAAATATTCATAAAAAATTAAGCTTTCAACAGAATTGCGTCAAATTTGAATGCGTCAAAGTAGCAAGTAAGTTCTATCAAATAAAATAATTGGCAAATCTCGAGGCCCATAGAAAGGGAAGAATGGAATGATAAATTAGCAGTATTATCTCAGCAGTCAGATCAAGAGTGTGAAACTGGTCCATTTAAATTTCCACAACTTCGTGCGAGCTGCCTCATTACAGTACTTACCCTACTACCTGAAATAATTTATTTTTAGTATTAGAGAAGTGAAGTGATGGGTTGTGTACAGTAATGTTGTTTTCATGTTTACAGGGAAAATGATTAATTTTCAAAAGCAGTTACTGAATCAGGTTATACAACCTTGTTATAGTGACACAGTTTCAAAAAAAATCTCTAAGAGGAATATTTGCTAGACTTACATGAATTTTATCAGTACCATTCTCTTCATTATAGTGTTGGCAACAAGATGCTCTGCTCTGACCGTACGACCGTTGGGACATACGACCGCGACCGTCGTGACCAAAAATATTTTCAAATGACACGCGCATTTTCTATGCCGAAACGTTTCCGTCCCGGGCGAGAGGGTGGCGCGTCTCGTGGGTACACTCACTCAGTGGAGCGCTTAGTTTGTGTTTGGCTATCGTATCCTATACTGATTGCGCTGTGAACTTTCGTTATTATCGTATTTAATTGACTTTATAATGACTGGAAAGAGTAAAAGTGAGAGTGCTGGTGGTGTTCCAAAGAAAAGGAGACAGGTAATTACTTTTGAGATGAAAATGAAGATAATAACACAGCATGAGAATGGAAAAACAGTAGCAACAATCTCACGCGACCTAGGTTTCTCACACTCGACTATATCCACTATTCTGAAGGACAAGGAACGTATTCGTGAAGTAGTGAGAGGAACAACACCTATAAAGGGAACTATAATATCAAAGAGAAGACAACGTCCTATTCACGATATGGAAAAATTATTGGTGATATGGATAGAAGACCAGATACAGAAGCGTGTACCCTTAAGCCTTCTAACCATACAGGCTAAAGCAAGAAGCCTGTTCCAAAGCCTGAAGGAGCAGGCAGGAGATGAATGTGATCAAACATTTACAGGAAGTCAAGGGTGGTTTGATAGATTTAAAAAACGCTACAGTCTACACAATGTTAAGGTGAGTGGAGAGGCAGCTAGTGCCGATGTTGATGCTGCCGAAGCTTTTAAGGAGGAGTTAGATGAAGTGATTGTGGAAGGGAATTATTTGCCTGAGCAAATATTCAATGTGGATGAGACTGGATTATTGTGGAAGCGCATGCCTGAGCGGACATACAGTTTCAAAGGAGTTAATGAAAATGAAGTTATTTCGGATAATAGTAACAAGATAGTGGAGTTAGGTAAACAGCTGGAGTTAGAAATTGATAATGAAGATGTTGGACAGTTGGTTGAAAGTGTAGCAGAAGAGCTCAGTAACGAGGATCTTATTGAACTAGATGCACAGAAAATTGCAGAGGAAGAAGAGAGACAAAATGTAGAAGAAGAACCTGCACCCCCCAAAAAGTTTTCAGTGAAACATATGGCAGAGGCATTTGCTACAATTAATAAAGGAATGAAAATGTTTGATGGCATGGATCAAAATTATGAGCGTTATGCCAAAGTTGACAGAATGGTCCAAGAGTCACTAGCTTGCTACAGGGAGATTTATAATGAAAAGAAAAAGCAAACTGTGCAGTCTAAATTGGACATCTATTTCAAGAAGTCCCCCAGTGCTGTCTCCTCATGCCCCACCAGTGCTGCCTCTTCACTCCCTCAAGATGATCCAATCCCTTCAACCAGCAAGTTTCCACAGCACATAAACCTGTCTGAAGAAAGCTACATTGATGACCCACCCAGCCCTGTCTCCTCTTCTGCGTCTTCCAATTAATATAGTCTCCATGTATCCTGTAAATAGAAAATTATGGGGGCCCCGTGTGCATTCAGCTGACTACATTAAAGGTAAATGCTCAGTCACACTGTATCCATTCCTAATTATTTATTACTTTTACTGTACTGTATCCATTCTCATTATTTATTACGTTTAGTGTACTGTATTTCATTGTAGATTTTTATTTTTATTTTTTTTTAACAAATTTGATTTTTTTTTTTACCTATGTCGGACTTACGACCTGGATTTGGGTCCCTAACCCCGTCGTAAGTCGGGGAGCACCTGTATATATACGTACAGTAGGGTGTGACCGTTGCCCTCCTAAAATAAAAAAATGGTCCTACAATGCTGTTCAAAGTTTTATTGTTGTGTATTTATCTAGTAAACACCCCTGTAAATTTTCTTGGAGATCGGTGCATGTTTCAGCTAGCACCGTCGGCTTTACAAAATAACAAGGAATATTATTATCTAATGAACAAATTTAGTGGAATTTCTTTTATTAGACTTATAAGTTATACTAACACCAAGCAAATGATCGATCATATCAATCTTAATACCCCTAAAACAATATTATAGATCAGTACAAAATACAATAAACCCAATAATTGCATTTCTCAGTTCAAGACCCATTTCTCTCAACCGGTGTACAATGAAGAAAAGAAATACTACTACCCCGCAATGCCTGGAGTGTTTGAGGAGCGCCAGCAGGAGATGGCTGACTTCTTCCGTGAATCTCTAGCCCAACCATTTACATGTGGCGACTACAAGGAGCTGGTAGAGCTTTGTCTGCTGCTTGTAACTAAAAGATCCGAGCCAGTGAACTTCACGATGGTCTACCCCGGCACACTTCACAAAGCAAGGTGGATGGCTAAACTGCTCTATACCCTCAAGATTGTTCTTTTGTCAGGCCAGATCAAAGAGCAGTTTCCCAAAGCCGAGGTTGTGACTAAAAGTCAAATCAGCAAGTTAGAACGGTTTGCTGTGTTCACAGTCGCTGTTTATGTCCCATGGTGGATTGTTTGCCCCGTTCCAGCAAGTGCGCCACTGAATGACTCGAATTTGGTCAAAACCTTGGCTGAATTTGCCCCATATGATGCCACAATAGTTGACAAAGCATGTGTGGCACTCGGTAGACACACTTGGTACCTAACTGAGGAGTTGGCTGCACTGGCTTTGTTCTCGTCCCAAGTACAAGAAAGGACAAAAGAGGAGATGAGGAAGGCCCTTCTTTGCCATGAAGGCACTGAAGTTACTGAGAGAGTGGGGCTCAATCATGGGGACTATGGAAAGCCATATCTTCCCCCTGTCCCATAAAGTGGCACTGCCCTGGTGGACCTAATTGGGCCTGACTCAAGCCTGTTCTTCACCATTTTAGGCATGCCGCCCTATCAGTTTCTCCACAGTCCAGCCAGTGAATGGGCGGATCATGACGACTACCTGAACATGAAACTGGTGGTGGACAAGCTTCAGGTCGTCAATAAGGCTGCAGAGTGTGGTGTAAAACTTTGCCATGACTTTCTTAATGTTGCCAGGGATCAGGAGCGCTTTCAAGAAGTCCTTCAAGTAGTTGAAAATGACAGACTCCGTGTTCCTAATTAGCGCAAATGATCATCTGTTTCCGAACAGAAATCATGGTTTCTTGCTCTAGAGAAATAATACCTTGTGAATATATGATAAAACCCCTTAATGTACCATGAGAGAATAAGAATGATTAACTTTTTTGTGTTCGTGATAATAGCTTTTAATTAAGACAGGCAAATGATTTGTGTTAATATCCCTTATGATGGTAGTGTAATCTCATATATAGGCGCGTATGCCGTATAAGCAAAATCGCTATTTTTAAATTGCTGCTCACTCAAATATGCATGAATCTTCAAAAAATTGCACGTGGGTATTTTTTATGTCGATATGCAACACCAAAATTTTGAACAGCATTGTAGGACAAAGTTGGGGCAACGGTCACGCCCTAACGTACAGTGGTCCCTCGATTAATAAACACAATTGGTTCCACAGAGTCGGTTGTTAACCGAAAATTTCGTTAACTGAATCTATTATTTCAATGGGATATTGGGTAATTGGTTCCAACTCACAGAAAAAGCATACAGTCGACCCTCGTTAATTCGGACCCCTTTAATCCGGATATCGGAAAAATCAGACGAAATCTGAACGAAGCGAGGGACTGTCCGTGTCAAATTTCTGCGGTCTTGTTGCGCGTGAGTCCGCCAGTCATTGTTGACCTAGCGCCATATTCGAGTATCAGTGATGCGTTGCCCTGCAATTTTCATTGATATTTCAGTGATTAGGCATCTTTCAGCCTTGTATTTTACATCATGTCTTCAAAGGGGAGTAATACGCTGAAGAGGAAGTATGTGACCCTTTCTGTGAACCAGAAACTGGAACTTATAAGGAAGTTAGAGGCTGGTGCGTCGGTGTCTAGAGTTTGTGACGAGTATGGTGTTAAAAAGCAAACAGTTTTGGACATAAGCAAGGCTAAGGACAAACTCATTGCATTTTCTTTGAAATATAATGTTGATGCAACTTCTAAATCATCATCTGTTGGTGCAAGGAAGAGTATGAGAGTGGCAAAAGATACCAGAAAATCTGAGAAAATGGCGAGAAAACCACTCCAAGCCTTTCTGCTCCGGAACTGGGAACAAAGGTTCACCCGAGTTATGAAAGATTGCATCATGTTTAGCCACGTCCTCACATGGTTGGTGCGTGGGTGGGAATACCAACTGCTTGGGTAATGCTGGATTTTCTGCTCATGGTCTATTTATAATTACTGTGTAAACAAATATTTCCTTAGATGTACATACAATATTAAAAAAGTAAAATAATAAAGTAATAAATAAATGTACCTCCGAGCTGTGCTAACGAGGTGGCTTGTCAGGTGGTGAGGTGACAGCACACACATTAACAGCACTACTAAACCATTGTCTTATAACATTAGACTTCATAATTTCTATTTTAAAATTAATTGATACATGATGGCTCGACTTGGTTACTTTTGCACTTAGACAACTGATCAGTGAATAAACCAGGGCATATGGAGATGCTTTATATACTAGTGATGTCCTGAAGCATCACAACTGACACCACAATGCATATATTATCACAACCTTTTCTCAAATGTACTAAGTCAATTTCAATTTTTTTTTATGTCTAGTGCAAACTATGGGATGTTTATACCCAAACTAATTGCCATTGTGCACAAATTCCAGCAATGCAAGTTATATTCTGCTCAGTCAAGTCAGTAGCATTTTATAAGCAAAAACTTTAAACTCCCTGTCTTTTATAATCATGAGTCCCTGACAACTAAGCATTAGTCTCTCCTCCTGGCTGTCAACACTCCCACCTCCCCCTACCCCCAGCCAGCAGAGGAGGTGAGATGGCAGACTTGACTTAGCAGGATATAACTTGCATTGGTGGAATCCTTGCAAGATAGCAATTAATTTGAGGATAAACATCTCATAGTTTGCATAAAAAAATTAAATTTTAGTTCTTTAGCTTAGAACATTTGAGTACAAAGTACAGTAATATGTTGCTCAAAATTATGACTTTTTCACAGGAAAAAGTCTGTATAACTAGTCCCAGTGGTCAGGATATTATGATATCGAATGTTACAAAGTATTTCAAATAAATTCTTTGTTTAGTTCTGTACATAGAGACTGGTGTTGTGGAGACCCTCAGAAAGGTTCACCTGCCTCTGTCATTCTTACTGGGCAAAATATTGTTTATTTGTTATTTATTAATTAGTAAAGATATGTTACTGCAATAATTTGAGCTAAAAAAAACTAACCTAACCTTTCTGACATCCGAGACGCATCTGGCCCCAAGGATTTCGGATAAGGGATTGTCAACCTGTATAAAACTGGGTTGGATGTGAAGGTCAAAGAAACTATAATGTGCTTAATTTACAGGGTGAACAACTTGTGGGAGACCTTCTGACACAAGGAAAACATTACAAAACACCTTGCTGACTCTAGGCCCATGAGGCACCAGCATGTAATAGATGCTAATGGAGGATAAACAAAGTACTAATGCATTCACAGTAAAATTATCATATAACTATCCTTATTTGTTTTGATGGTCTAATAAACTTATGATCATTTTCTCCAAGTTTACCTTATTAGTTTACACTATTAAAAAATTATTACTTTCACAATGAATGCCTTGGAAAGCCTAAAATAGTGGTTGAGGGGTATATGAGATGGGACCTGGGATTCTGTATCTGTGAGTATAAACGTAAAATGGCATTGGTCTTTACCAAATGTGTGATGAATAGAATGCACATAAGCATATGAAAATGACCTCATCTGCAAATTTGGTAAGAAGCTTCTACACCATCCTCGACACCGGCTCCTACTACCACCTGAGATCCCTAGTCCGAGAATTGCTGTTCGACACCACAACCGCATCCAGCCCATACGTGTACGAACTGATCACTATAAGAACAGCCCAGTCCCAACCATTGTAAAAATTATCAATAACTTGTAATAAACCAGTGTATTCACTCCCAGTAAACACTACTCCTTGCACTGCCACTATGTTGAAATGAACTGTAGTTTGAGCTTTTCCCCATCTAGTTATTATATGTCTTATTTGTGTCACTTATGTTACTTGTATATTATTTGTAATTCGAAACCCATTCCCCAAATATGTAAATGTATATTTTCAGCCTTCTGGCTGCCAAGCTCTTTCAATAAACCGTTAATTATTATTATTATTATTATTATTATTATTATTATTATTACAATATATGAACAATTGAATGAGCTTCGTAATATGACTTATGTAAATACACGTCATATTACGGAGCTCCAAAATGGTGTAACTGCCAACTCCAAGGTTCACCAGGCCTGCCAACCCTCTGTGATGTAAACAAATAGGTGCATCGAATGTCTCAATCTTTCCGCGTACTGTGTTCGTCAAATGTGAAGAAGAATTTAATTCCTTGCCTGTACTTGTCCATCTTACTTAACTTAATCCCAGAATGTCCCACAGCAACCTGTCATCTCCCTGCAAACATATACACTTCTCTATACAGAAAAAAAATTATTCCTCACCAGTTTGTCCTGTGTCGAGTCTTCCATTGTCACATCAAAAATGACTTCAGCAACAGCAGTAATAGCAGGTGGCCAAACTTTGAGAACTGGAGGCCAACCAGAACCACACAGGTGTGCAAGACCGAGGCCACACAGCTTTCTTCGTTCCTCTGGAGATACTAAAGCTAGTTTATCGGCCCACACACTTACAACACGTTCCAATACTTCCTCTGGTTGTTTGCTCTCACCAGTAGCAGCCTGAAATAGTAAAGCATATGTAAAACAGATAATTCCTACCAATCTCTCCTTAGCAAACTTGCATCTTTTGGTCATCCAAATTCCTCAGTTTCTTGGATCTTCAACTTTCTCTAAATAAAACATCACATTAATGCAATCGAAATGGTTCATGACCAGACTACAATAAGTTCCATATATTTTGTAAAGTTGCCATTAAAAACACTTGTAAAAGGAAACAATATGAAATGTTTTGACAAAATATTTACCAGTGCCATCAAAATACATTTCCTACAGTACGGTACAGAATTTTTTCTGTAATTCGTACTCGGAAAAAATATCATACCATAATTTTGTACCGTACCAGAAAAATGTTTTTGTACAGTACCAGCATGATATAATAGTGTACTGTAATTTTGTACATTATGTTGTACCTCATAAAAGAAATAAATCTGAGGAAAGGTTAAATGAAAAAAGGGACACCAAAGGTGTCTCCAATAAATACGAAATTGAGATATATAGTTGGGTCAAAGTATGCACATTCATAGTAAGCTACCCTGCTTATACGTGTCTGACATCTGAACCGCCCTTACGCTTGGGTCTCTCTCGTGTGAGCCAACCCACCCAGTCTCTCTTGCCAGAATCAATCTTATTTACCATATCTTAACCTCATATTCATACATACATATTTTCATCTCTCTCTTGCACCATGAACATCTCCCAGGTCTTTTTGCTCATTAAGTTTTTCTTTATTGGTGAATTTTACCACAATCATAGATCCTAAGAGGAAATTTAGTAGCAGTGCTCGTGATGATGAGAGTGAGATTGATTGATTGTGGTACAGTAATTACATCCCTGGCGATGCAACAGCTGAGGTTATGTGCCACCAAATTAAACTAAAACCTTTGAAGGTTAAAACCAAGTACAGGAAAGCCTCTAATAACGACAGTTCTGCTAACGATGATTCGTATTTAACCCCTAAGCCCCGGTTGACGTTCTGCAACACACACACACACACCAACAACCATGTCACCATCAACCATACCAAGACCATGGTTATGCACATCAACCTCTCCTCCGACATTGTCCCACCTCCTTCCATTACTCTAGGTCCGAACACACTCCAGGTTGTAGATTCCACGAAGCTCCTCGGCGTCACCATAGACAACAAACTAAATTGGAAACCACACGTCAGTGAAGTTGTCAAGTCCTCCAGTTTCCGTCTCCACCTCCTCCGCCACGACTCAGTCCCTCGGAGTTCCTGCACGAGCTCCTCAGTGTTTACACATCATTCATACTTCCCAAGCTCACCTATGCCTCCCCTACCTGGTCTTCCTCCTTAAATGCCACACAGCGTAAACACCTAGAAAAAGTGCAAAAGAGGGCATGCAAGATTATTCTCTCCCCTTCCTACTCCACATATCAAGAAGCGCTCAACACACTGACCCTTTCGACTCTCACTGACCATCACCACGACCTCATCTGCAAATTTGGTAGAAGCTTCTACACCATCCTCGACACCGGCTCCTACTACTACCTGAGATCCCTAGCCTGAGAATTGCTGTTCGACACCACAACCCCATCCAGCCCATACGTGCACGAACTGATCGGTATAAGAACAGCCCAGTCCCAACCATTGTAAAAATTATCAGTAACTTGTAATAAACCAGTGTATTCACTCCCAGTAAATACTACTTCTTGCACTGTCACTATGTTGAAATGCACTGTAGTTTGAGCTTTCCCCATCTATAGTTATTATATGTCTTATTTATTGTCACTTATATTTACTTGTATATTATTTGTAATTCGAAACCCATTCCCCAAATATGCTTGGCTGTATATTTTCAGCTTCTGGCTGCCAAGCTCTTTCAATAAACCATTAATCCATGCGCCTCTACATACTACCTACTTGCTTACACACATACTTGCTTGCATACTTTACCTGCCTTGTACGCACACACGCCGCAACACCTTTTACACATAGAGGCTCTCACCAATAACGACTTCCACAATAACGTTTTCAGTACATATCTTCATGGGCAATAATAATAATAATAATAATAATAATAATAATAATAATAATAATAATAATAATAATAATAATAATAATAATAATAATAATAATTAATAATAATATACTACAAATACTTATTCAAATTAAGCTTGTGTTCAACTTAAAAGCATAAATAATTTAATTACACTAACCTGATTAATAGCCCAAGTAAAGATGTGTTCTGCATACAGTACTAATCTAGCCACCAGAGAGAGGTACATAGATATAATCATTGGGTACTGATCTCCTTCAGCAACTACTTTGATTAGGCCAGGAAGTAATGGTTGTATCAGAGATGCGCCCTCGGTAGGAAGTACTCGCAGCATCATTTCCACTGCTCGCAACACCAAAACCATACCTTCACTCTTCATATCTGTTAACATTGAGCTGAAGGTCTCAATCAAACGACTGCCATACCTGATAAAAAGAAAAAAAAAGGTTTTCAGCTAGGAGAAGAAAGCTCAAAACAAAATGTAATTACCGTATATTATGGCATAGAAGACAAACTTTTTTGTCTGAAGAATGGCAAAAAAACAAAAAAAAAACAAGGCCAGCATCTTATATGTGAAGTTCCAGTCGCCCATAAGCTAATGATTCCCCCTGTTGCTATCTCCAGTAGGCTAAAGAATACCTAACCCAACTCCAGAATTAAAAATATGTTATTGCTTACTTAAACACTGTGGGATCTTGCTGCTGTCTGTAACTGGCAAGATTATCCCCCCAGTCCTCCAAAACAGACTTCTTCCTGAGGTGAAAAACTTCCTCCCAGAATCTCAATGTGGCTTTAGACCATCACGTGGCACCACTGACATGATCTTTGCTGCCCGCCAGATACAGGAAAAGAGCAGAGAACAGCGTCATGAACCTGTACATGGCTTTCATCGACCTAACCAAGGCCTTTGACTCGGTCAACAGGGAAGCCCTCTGGTGGACCCTCAGCCGTTTTGGCTGCCCACCAAAATTCATCGCCATTGTGAGGCAACTCCACGAAGGCATGAACGGCACAATGAGAGACATTCTGAGTTCTTCCCCATCGAAACAGGAGTTAAACAAGGGTGTGTACTGGCACCAACTCTCTTCCATTTTCTTGGCTGCCTTCCTTACTCGTGCCAGTGCCAATTTAGCCGGTAGGATGGACATCGAATGCTGGGTGAAAGGGGGTCTTTTCAACATAAGACGACTCCAGGCAGGAACAAAGGTGTCGGCAGCTTCCATTACTGAACTTCAGTATGAAGATGACCTCACCCATTTTGCTCACACAGAACACGACCTACAGGAGATTCTGAAGACCTACGCAAATGCGTATGCACATTTCGGCCTTGGGGTGAATGCAAGTAAGACTCAGATTCTCTTTCAACATGCCCCTGGTTCACACACACCTCCACCAGCTTAACAGTACTACCCTCTCTAATGTTACCCACTTTCGGTATCTCGGCTCCCACCTGTCCACCACTGCAGATATTGATGAAGAGATTCAACGTCGGAACAGATGTACATCTCGAGCCTTAGGCAAATTCCGAAACCGTGTCTTCAGCTGTAGGGAGCTGAAATTATCTACAAAGCTGCACGTATATGGAGCAGTGGTCCTCCCCACCCTGCTATATGGCAGTGAGACATGGGTCACATACAAGAGGCACCTCAAGGCACTTTTAAACTTTCACCAATGTAGTCTACGTTCCATCCTCCGAGTTCGCTGGGAAGACAAGAGAATAAATGCCAGTATTCTTGCTGACACCAACTGTAGGAGCATCGAGGCTACCATTATCCACGAACAACTACGCTGCACTGGCCATGTTACCCGCATGGACGACAGTAGACTGCCAAAGCAGCTACTTTACAGTCACCTAACAAATAGTAAATGTAACGCCAGCGGGCAATTGAAAAGGTATAAGGATAGTCTTAAGACAAACCTGAAAAAGTGCCAAATCGACCCCCTCACCTGGGAGTTGATTACCCCACATCTTAACGCTTGGAGGAGCACCACATGAGAAGGTGTCAATACTTTCGAGTTAGCCCGACTGTAAACTGAGACAGACAAGCGCCAACGGCGGAAAGATGCTGCTACCGCCCCTCCCGCACTAGATGCAGCCCTCCATACGTGCAACATCTGTGAACAACTTTGCCGGTGCCATATCTGCCTCTTTAGTCACCTCATAACTCACCAACCTAGGTGACATCCTTAATAACTCACATCATTGTAACAAAGTGTTTTATCAACGCAGTAAAACTCCAAATCTTACGATCATGAGGATCTCTGACAGCCCGTCTACAGCAAATGGACAGTTTAAAAAAGCCGGAAACAAGAGAGAGCTTTATGACGATCAATCCATAAAGCCTTGAGAATCGAGCAGGGATAAACGCGAGAACTTCCCCTCCTTGAGACCAGCCACTAATAAGCTATCACCTATGAGGTTTCCTAACCCTGCCAATAACTCAGTACTGCACCTCTACCTGTCGTTGATAAACATCCTCAAACTTGATAGAACTTTCCACTTCTTCTCTCAGGAATGCCCTCCCAGTACCGGTCAATACGTAATTCATTGGTTTGTAGCACTTGTGAGTCGTTGCCACCCCCATATATAATTTTCATAGAACTTCCTTTTTACACCTCAGTGACCCTGAGTTTACTGTTCCTTAATCAGTATCATGTCCCCCACAATAATGATGCTAGTGTCATTCCTTGAGTCTGTGCTTCGTCGTATGTATTTACACCCCCCTTTACCCATGGTGTCGTCATAATACTCCTCATATAGAGCCCTGATGCCTTTCTAAAACTCACTGGGTTACACCAGCCCCCAACTGTAACTATTACATTCTAGCTCTCGAGGTTTAGTTCTAGTCTCCCTACTACACTGTTCACCTCCTTGATTCGCCCTTCTTATCAAATGACCCTTCATCTAGATACCTTTTTAGATCAGTGTTTATCTTCTATTGCCCTGAATTTGATGTACTTGGGTTCTGTGAGACCAAACTCACTATGATATTGAACATTTGTATAACATTCCTAATTATAAGACACTCGTCAACCGTCCTGACTTACAGTGGTGGTGTAAGCCCTATATGTTGATATCCAAGTATAACACTTCTGTGAGATGATTTAAGGTTCAGGAGAATTACCCAGGGAGTGTGTTTTAATTAGATACATAACGACACCTGAAATATCCTGAAGTAGGGAGTAATCTGAAGACCCCCACACTAATATGAGAATTTTTCTTGATAAGTTTCAGACTTATCACTATCAACAACTTCAGAGAGGAAACGTTGCTACATTACAGGAAATTTCAGCCTTGATCTGTAAGGCTCAAAGCCCTACTCCATATTTAAGACCCCTTCTTGCTACCTGTCATTCAAACTCTTCTTCAACACCATAACCAAACTCACTGATAAATTGTCACCTCTGCCACTGTGATGGGTCATTATCTGGAACTAACAACACTCCTAACAATCTTGCAAATTGGAATTATTTATAACAAATATCTCAGATCATTTCCCAGTTTTGCCATGTATAAAAACAGCCACAGACCTGAAGGTCTAGTAGAGTCTCAATACAATACAGAGACTACTGCACAGACAACCTGCTCCTTTAACAAAGAAACCATTCTTCTTTGGGATCTTACATCTTCTTGTCAACAGCTTCATCATAACTTACCATAAAAGCAACTTTATTGAAACTGCTTGCTTTTTTTGATAAGCCGCTTTATGAACTAAAATCAAACTGTATCCATTTCCAAGCCCTCTCCGCAAGCGAAAGTAAGATGATGATAAAAACACAAACTCCAAAGGTTACAAGACTAGAACTTTTCGGTGATGTTTGCGAGGTATCAAAATAAAGTATCAAGCAGTTAGAAATGCCAGGCGTAACTATTATACAAATAAGCTCCAGTCAGCATCAAGGACCCGGTAAGAAAACCTGGAATGTGTCATAAATTCTATTCAGAACAGGAACACTCGGCCTTGGACCCCACTCAGCACTACGATAAAAACCGATTTGAGACCTTCCCTCAGCTACTAACCACTTCAATGAATATTACTTTATTTAATGTTGGCAGTGCTTAGAGAGAGCATTCCACAGTCACCATTAGAATTTGGAGCCTACCTGCAAAACAGACCTTAACAAACTGAATTGTTCTTATCACTGTCACAGCAAATACAATTTACCACCATAAAATATCCAAGATGTGCAGGCGAACCATCTTGTCATCGTAAAAGTAGCCAGTGTACTTGACACACCTGATGTGGGGTGATGGTGTGGGTGATGTAAGGTGAGGGTGGTGATGGTGGATGATGTAGGGTGAGGGTGGTGATGGTGTGGGTGATGTGGGGTGAGGGTGGTGATGGTGTGGGTGATGAGGTGAGGGTAGGATGGTGTGGGTGATGTAGGGTGAGGGTGGATGATGTAGGGTGAGGGGTGAAGTGGGGTGAGGGTGGTGATGGTGTGGGTGATGTAGGGGTGAGGGTGGTGATGGTGGGGATAAAGTGATGGTGTGGGTGATGTGGGAGGTGGTGATGGTGTGGGTGATGGGGTGAGGGTGGTGATGGTGGGTGATGTGGGGTGAGGGCAGATGGTGTGGGTGATGTAGGGGGTGGGTGAGGGGTGAGGGTGGTGGATGGTGTGGGTGATGGGAGGGTAAGAGGGTGGTGAGGTAGGGAGATGTGGGGTGAGGGTGAGGGCAGGATGGTGTGGGTGATGTGGGGGTGAGGGTGGTGATGGTGTGGGTGGGGATGTAGGGTGAGGGAGGTGGGTGATGTGGGGTGAGGTGGTGATGAAGTGTGGGTGATGGGGTGAGGGTGGGGATGGTGTGTGATGTGGGTAAGGTGGTGATGTGGGTGAGGGGGTGGTGATGTGTGTAGAGGTGGGGAGATGGGTGGGTGATGGAGGATGGTGGGTGATGGGTGGGTGATGTGGGGTGAGGGGCATGATGGTGTGGTGATGGGGTGAGGGTGGTGATGGTGTGGGTGATGGAGGTGGAGGGTGGTGGTGGGTGATGGGGGTGAGGGTGGTGATGGTGTGGGTGATGGGAAGAGGGTGGTGATGGTGTGGGTGATGTGGGGTGAAGGTGGTGATGGTGAGGGTGATGTGGGGTGAGGGAGGAGATGGTGGATGATGTAGGGTGAGGGTGGTGATGGTGGGTGATGGGAGTGATGGTGGGTGATGTGGGGTGAGGGTGGTGATGGTGGGTGATGGGGTGAGGTGGTGATGGTGTGGGTGATGGGGTGAGGGTGATAGGGGTGATGTGGGGTGAGGGTGGTGATGGTGTGGGGATGGGGTGGTGGGTGGTGATGGTGGGTGATGTGGGTGAGGGTGGTGATGGTGGGTGATGTGGGGTGAGGTGGTGATGGTGTGGGTGATGGGGTGAGGGTGGTGATGGGGGTGTGATATGTGTTTGTGATGTAGTAATGATGTGGGTGGTGTGTGT